AGGAATGATGAATATTGGTTTTGGGTTTTTTTTCCAATTTTCCATTTGCAAGTTATGCTGCGTTATGTTCTTCAGTTGTATTCTTGTAAATATGTGCAAGAGTTTCTGTAGAGTAAAACTTAGCAATGGCAATACATGATTCTGTGGTATGCACATCTTCATCTTTAATAAATATTGCCAAATTATTCTCCAAAATGAGGATTCAGGTTTATACCCCAGTTGGTAGTTTATGAGTTGCAGTTACTACACATCTTCTCCACACTTAATATTATTGACACATGTGCATGTGCTTGTGTTTTCACCAATTTCATGAGAATGATGTGGTATGGTGTTAATTTGTATTTTTCACATTGCTAATGAGATTGAACATCTCATGTGTAGAGGCCATTCTGATGTTCTGTGAATTGCCGTTTTTTTGCATTCTTTTTTTAAAAAATTAATTTAAAGGAGTTTTTCACGTTCTAATCCTTTGTTGGTTATAGGCAGTATAAGGATCTCTCCCAATCTATATCTTTCTTTACTTGTTGCCTTCATTTTAACCTCGCAATTTTATCAGCTTTTACCTTTAAGATTTTTTGTTTTTTGTCTTAACTCTTCGTATATTCTGAAGTAACAAGGATTTTCTCCTGTACCTTTTAAAAAATTATATTTTTGCTTTCACATTTATGTTTTTAATCCAACTACAATTTATTTTTGTAAGTTTCTGCTGTAATGCAGCATGTGTACCTAAGAATCACTGTGCTATATGCAAAATCATGCAATAAAAACCACAGGGCATACGGGAAAAATAGGGTTGGGGCACAGAGATTTAAAAATTTTTTCAGGGGCCTTCCCTGGTGGCGCAGTGGTTGGGAGTCCGCCTGCTGATGCAGGGGGCGGGGGTTCGTGGCCCGGTCCGGGAGGATCCCGCGTGCCTCGGGGTGGCTGGGCCCATGAGCCATGGCCGCTGGGCCTGCGCGTCCGGAGCCTGTGCTCCGCAGCGGGAGGAGCCACGTACCAAAAAAAAAAAAAAATTTTTCAGGGACCCATTTTTTTTGAAAGATACTTAATAAAATGGTAGTATGGTTTTACACATTTTAAATGGTTAAGAAATACATTAATACTGCAGTAAATATGGTATTTTTATTTTGAAAAAGATGAGATTTGCTTGAAGTGGGATTGTGAAATGGTAGAAGGAGGGTTATCCGAAATCTGCCAAGAAGTTGTAACACCAGATGTGGAGAGTGTGGTTCATAACACACATGGTAAATGTAGGTAGATGTTTAAAATGTATGTTTTGTGCATACCTGTGCAGCTCAGTGTAGCTGGGAAATTTTCCACATATATCTAGTGTTTGTTTCAGTTAGGACGAGGGTGAGACAGGCAAGGCACCTAGGGTGTAGAATTTAAGGAAGCACTCCCTGTTAGGGTCCCTAGGCATCTCACTTGCCTCACCCTAGTCCTCGCACTGCTTATGGGTGAAGTAGTGCTTAAGCATGCACTGAATTTGTGTTACTGTTACCTTGTATATCAATCATGTTGAACACATTCAGGCTTTCGTAAGAAGCTTTTTCGAATAGAACTGACTACATATGTGAGGTATAGAGCTCTTAATTAATTTTTCTTGTATGTATAGCCAGATCTTTCTACACTGGTTTGTAATGATTTTAGCATGCAGCATAGTTCCACATATATTTGAGCCTGGTTCATGTTTCTTTGTGCTATTTTCATTGGTCTTTCCGCTTCTCCCTATGCTAATAACACATTTGCTTAATCACAGGTCTGGCACTAACTTTTTAACCTTGGGCAAGTTAATTTCTGTGTGCCTATGAAATTATAATAGTGCCTACCTCATTGGGTAGTTAAAGGAGTAAATGAGCCAATATATTAAAGTGCTTAGAAGTATGTGCCTGGTCCAAGAGTAAAGCTCAAATGTTAGTTATTTTGTTATTATTAAAAGTAATTCCTGTTAGTTAATAAAGAGTCTTGAGATCTAGTAGACTGAGATTGCCATCTTGTTTTTCCTTTTCCAAACTAAGAGGAAATGAGGAGAAGCTTTTGGAAGGATTCCCTGAGAAAGTGATGGTTAAACTATCTGAAAGATGATAAGCGTTAACTAGGTGTTGAGAGCAGTAGGAGAATATTTGAGGCAGAAGGAGCCATGAGGCAGAAAAAAGTGTGTCCAGGAACTAGATCTCAGCAAAAAGAAAAATGGCACCAGTTAAGACTGAAGAGGTAAGTAGGAGCAGATCAGATCATGCAAGACCTATTAGGCAATGTTAAGCATTTTAGACTTCATGTTAAAATCAATTATAACTATTTGTAAAGATTGATATTTCAAGAATAAAAGCCACGAAGTATTAATCTTTACAAATAGTTATAACTCTTCAAAAAAGAAACTCGGAAGCTAAAGTTGGGTGCATCTGGACCCTAATAGCATATCAAGGATTAAGAGTGCTGTTGAGAATGTAAAATAAATTCAAGTCCTTGTTCACTTATTGAGCTGTTATTCACTTAGTGAGCTATTATTGATTTTTTTCTAGTCTTTTATGAGTTAAAATTAAGGTATCTTGTGTTTTGGGCAGATTCTTAATAGATTATGAGTAGAATTTTTACAGTACAACAAATCCGTGTAAATGTCTTGAAATAGTATTTTTCACTTATTTGTCCACTTCATCTAATTTCAAGGGTGCATCTATAACTACACATTATTTCAGTAATAGACGCTCCTGTTTTTTCTACTTCCCTCATGTTTCATGACCACAACATTCTACAAGTAAGTTATAGGTACCTGTAATAGAAATATGATGGCCATTTTCAATTGAAGGTAGTGTTAAAAACAGCTGAATTTTCATCAGTTGGGAGAGTTTCCTCTCATAATGGTTTCATTATACAGAAATCACTCAGTTCAAGATCTAGGAAAGAAAGTTGAACTAGAAATGTATGGCAGCAGATGAATTCTGCCCAATGCAACCCTGCACTAAAACTAAAGAATTTATTAAATACTTTGGGAGGTAAAACGTCATCTTTTAGAAATATCTTTTAAGTAAATATAAATAGAATTTTGATACTATTCCACAAATAGTTTTTAATGTAAGTTTTATAAATGACATTTTAAATTACAGTATTGTTAATCTATAAGTTCAGCGCAATTCTAATCAAAATCTTAATAAAGTTTTTTGTGGAACTTGATTAACTGATTCTAAAATTCATAGGGAATAGCAAATGGCCAAAGATAGTTAAGACAGTTTGCAACAAGAAGAATCTGGGGGAACGTGCCCTAAATAATATCAATATAAAAGTAATTAAGAAAATTAAATTGGCACAATGATAGAAAAATAGATGAATGGAGTAGGGGAAAGATCGCTTAGTATGACATTTACTTGCAAAGAAAGCAAATGAAATGTCTGAATCTCTTGTTCAAATTGCAAGGGAGAAAGAGTCTAAAAAAATTTTAGTGGGTGATATACAATTAAGTATAATTTTCTTTATTATCAGTTTAACATATAAAGTCATTGCTAGTCTAATCTATTTTATTTATCTTAGAAACAGGGTTTTCTTAAAACTTAGTTTTTCAACTCTTATTTTCTCATAAATACCAAAATCTACAATTTGGGGACTTTCCATTGTGTAACCCTGATAGTGGGTTTGGAATACTCATGTATAGATAATTCTGCCTTACCCACTTTTAGGGAATTAAACTGCTGATGAATATTATTTAAGAATTGTGGGGTTTTGCTATGTTGGTGCCTTTGCTTCAAACATAACTGTAGTGTTTCATTCCTATAGTGCTATATGTATAGTGCTATAAGCACAGAAATATTAGAATGATGTTCTTCTAAAAAACTTGGTTATGCATGTGGGCTTTAAACATGTTGTTAATCTTTACTCTTGCTTTTGTTTGTGATTGAACCTGGTTAAGTGGGGGGAAGGTATTTCTGGAAAAGAATTTAAAATAATTATGAACCAGTGGCAAAGCATAGTAGGTATAATATAAATCAATTCGTAAAGTTTTTTAGATTTCTAATTTTTTATGCTTTCTTTGCTAGAGAACCATTATTTTATTTTTTCTGTCACTGGTCATCTGATGAGAAACTAATTTAGGTATTTGAAAGTAAGATGAATATAGTTTAAGTAATGCTTATTATAGTGCTTGGTATCACACTTTTGAAATCAATTAAAAGCCAGTCCTGCTTGCCCCAGCAGATTTTACTAATGTATGAGAAACAATTGGAGACAGTATTGTTGTTATTAACTTTCGTTGGTAAAGAAGCTAATTATTTTTAAAGTTTCTTTTAAGCTTTGATTATAATTACTAAAATCAATCTTGCAAACCTTTAATAATTGCTTTCCTTACCCCATAAAAGATACAGTTAAATATATAAAATTAACATACTGTAAGTTTTTTGCAAAAGAACCATTTTCCATATTTATATTTTACCATGTTGCATTTAAAATTTTATTTTGACTGATTCTTATAATTACCATTTGAATTTTTGTTCAGTTGGTAAATATTCTGTTGAATAGCTATTTCATTTTTTTTAAATGCTGTTAAGGATTTTTTTTAACGTATATGTTTTTTTGTTTTTTGGGTTTTTTTTGTGGTACGTGGGCCTATCACTGCTGCGGCCTCTCCCGCCGCGGAGCACAGGCTCCGGACGCGTAGGCCCAGCGACCACGGCCCACGGTCCCAGCTGCTCTGCGGCACGTGGGATCCTCCCGGACCAGGGCACTAACCCACACCCCCTGCATTGGCAGGTGGACCCCCAACCACTGCGCCACCAGGGAAGCCCTGTATATGTTAATAGTTGTCTTTAGTAGATACTTTACAGAACAATAGAAATAATACTTTACACAAGTGAAATATTTTTCTTCTACTACTGTGACATTATAGTTATTCTCAGTAATCCTTGGAAGTAGACATGTACTTTGATATAAAATAAAATATAAAAAATAGGCAGATTTTCTGCTATTCCTATAGTTCCTGGTATTTTCCTTTACTGATTTCTCTTCTTTTTTAGGTACCTAGTCGATAGTCGCTGGTTCAAACAGTGGAAAAAATATGTTGGCTTTGACAGTTGGGACAAATACCAGATGGGAGATCAAAATGTATATCCTGGACCCATTGATAACTCTGGGCTTCTTAAAGGTATTATTTCCTTCTTTCAGTCAGGTTGTAAATGTGTTCGTTTCAGTATGTTATAGTAATATGGAAAATGTTAATGTAAATAAATTGGTAAATTAGAAATTTCTTTGTGTAGTCATCCCCCAATGTCCATGCGGGGATTGGTTCCAAGACCCCTTTCAGATACCAAAATCTATGGATGGTCAAGCCCCTTATATAAAATGGCATAATATTTGCATATGATCTGTGTATCCTCCCATATACTTTAAATTATTTGTAGGTTATCTATAATACCTAATAAAATATAAATGCTATGCAAATAGTTGCTGGTACATGGAAAATTCAAGTTTTTCTTTTTGGAACTTTCTGAAATTTTTTTTTCCCTCAAATATTTTCTGTCCAAGGTTGGTTGAATCTGCAGATACAGGACCCATGGATACAGAGGGCCAACTGTATTATAGATTTGACCTAATGAATTCAGATTATTCTGTTATAATTAGTTATATTCTGTATCATGACAAATTCTATTTGTCAGTTCTGATTAGTAAGGGTTTATTATCATTTAAACCTAGAATGTAAATTAGAAAGCACTATCTTATTGTTTGGGGGAAATGCTGTATTGTGTATTATTTTGCTAGTGGGCACATGACTTTTCTCTTTAAGTTGGGGATCAGTGGTATATGGTTACATTCTTGGATTTTTGCATTAATCTTCTACAACCTTTACTACTTGCCAGCTCTTCTAAAATTCATATAACATTTAAAGAGAATAAAACATAAGTACCAGAACTTCCATTTCTGGCCACGATGGAATAACAGGGACTAGACTTATGCTTCCACTTGAATGAACTAAAACCCTGACAAAAAACATGAAACAGTGGTTCTCAAAACATTGGACGTCAGGCAACAAAGAACAGTGATCCCCGAGAGGTATGAAACAAATGAAGTGAGCCCTGTGATTTCCTCAGCTTACTGCACTGAGTTTCCAAGACATGGCACAGAAGGAGAAACTCACGCAAAGCCTGGCAACCTCCCTTAGTTGAGGAAAGAGTTTGGAGTCCACGGAGACCAAGGCAGCCAGAGTTCTCAGGGCAGAGTACCAGAGAGGAATGAGCAGCACACAAGGAGAGAGAGAGACCTAGAGATCTATAGAAGCTCTCTTATAAGTCTAGAGCTGACTGTTGACCAGTGCATGTATGTGAGGAAGCTACCCAAGGCCAAGGAAAGAACCATCCAAAAGAATTAGAAGGAACAATCGTTTAGGTTCATGTTACCAAATCAGGTTCATTTGCCAGATGCACAGCAAGCCAAATTCTGAGATACCAAGGTTTGCAGCAGAGAAAGGGTTTATTCATAAGGCAACCAAGTGAGGAGTCGGGAGAACAAATCTCAAATTTGCCTCCCTGATAGCAAGAGGCTCAGGGTATTTATGGGAACAAAGAAGCAGGATGGTCTGAGGTGTGGGGAGCATGGGAAAAGGTAATTGGTGATAAGGAAAGAGGGAGGTAATAGACGTTCGATGCATGTTCAGAAATTGGAGGCATTAGCAGGTGCTGAGGGTGGAGTTTTTGGCCCTTTCATGTCAAAAGGTCAGCAAGTGGACACTCACACAAGCCCAGTTGGACAGTCGGTGGTCTTAACCAGTCTTAGCTCCACCTAGAACTGAACACAGCTGATTTCAAGTTCCTGAAAAACAACTCAGGCAACTATCTTATTGTTTAGGTTATGCAAAGCTTGGAGGACATGCAAGTTTTTATAAAAACAATTAAAGTGTGCTTGATCAGTAAAGGCAGGTTACAGTTATAGTTTAATGGATCTAAGTGATGAGTATCCTCGGTTTCACTCATAAAGGACCAGGAATAATGTGTTCACAGTAGCCAGAGTGGAGAACCTCATAAATCACGGGGTAGACTGCAGAGAATGGGTTTGCCTCTATAGAAGGGCAAAATTTATCCTTCTAAATTGAAAGTATCAAACTATTTCCAAGTAACTTAACTGCATCTCAGAACAGAACACAAGAGTATTTGTAGGAATACAAAAAATGTCCAGCATCCAACAAGATAAAATTTGTAATTTCTTGGATACAACCAAATATTACCTGGAATGCAAAGAAACAGAAAAATACAATGCATACTAAGGAGAAATAGCAATGTTTAAAAAATATATTTTTTAAGTGGAAAAGAACGAAGAACAAATGAAACAGATACAAAACGAATAGTAAGATGGTAGATTTAAACCCAGCTCTATGAACAGTCGTATTTAATGTAAATAGAGACTGTAAGTAGAGACTGTAAGATTGCATTAAAAAAAACAGACCCAACTGTATACTGTCTGCTAGAAACCCACCTTAGATATAAAGATACAAATAGGTTAAGAGATTGAAAAATTGTAAGACTGACCTCCAGTGACCCTCCTCTTACATAATCATCTCCTTTTTGACTGTGAGTAGAACCTGAGAATAGGATATCATTCCTGTGATTATTTATATTATATGACAAAAGGGAGATTATCCCAGTGAGCTTTATCTAATCGTGCATGCCCTTTAAAAGCAGAGTTTTCTCTGGCTGGTAGCTGTAGAAGTGAGGATTCAAAGCGTGAGAAGGGCTCATTGGTGGTTTGAAAATGGAGGGGACTACGTGAGAAGGAAGACAGGCATCCTCTAGGAACAAAGAGAGTCATTGGGCCCACAGCTAGCAAGGAAACAGGGACCTCATACCTGTAGCCATGAGGAACTGAATTCTGCCAACAGTCTGAATGGACTTGGAAGTAGATTCTTCCCCAGAGCCTTCAGATAGGAGACCAGCCTGGTGACATCTTGACTTCTTCCTTGTAAGACCCTAAGTAGAAAACCCAGCTGAGCCCATCTGAACTTCTGACCCATAGAACTGTGAGATAATAAATGGGTGTTGTTTTAAACTACTATGGTTATTTGTTATGTAGCAATAGAAAACTAATACACATACTAACACTAATCAAAAGAAAGCTGGAATGGCCATATTAATATCAGACGTTAAGTTTTAGAATGGAGAGCATTACTAGGGATAAAAGTTCATTTCATGATCATAAATGGGTCAGGACAATTTGTTAAGAAAACATAATAATCCTAAATATATACCCAGCTAATGGCATAACTTGAAAATATATGGAGCAAAAACTGATAGAACTGCAAGGAGAAATAGAAAAATATCCACAATTATATAATGGATATTTCAATATTCTTCTCTCCATAAATGATAGAAAACGTGTAGACAGAAAAGTTGTAATGAAATAAATCAACCTACCTGTCCTAATGGACATTTATAGAATATTCCACTGAACAACAGCAGAATGAAAACTCTTTTTAGGTGTACACATGAAGCATTTAGATAGACTATATTCTGGGCCATAAAACCTGTCTCAATAAAGTTAGAAGGGGGCTTCCCTGGTGGTGCAGTGGTTAGGAATCCGCCTGCCAATGCAGGGGACACGGGTTTGAGCCCTGGTCCAGGAAGATCCCACATGCCACGGAGCAGCTAAGTCCGTGCACCACAACTACTGAGCCTGTAGTCTAGAGCCCGTGAGCCACAACTACTGAAGCCCGTGTGCCACAACTACTGAAGCCCACACGCCTAGAGCCCATGCTCCACAACAGGAGAAGCCACCGCAATGAGAAGCCCGTGCACTGCAATGAAGAGTAGCCCCCGCTCACTGCAACTAGAGAAAGCCCACGTGCAGCAACGAAGACCCAACGCAGCCAAAAATAAATAAATAAATTTAAAATACATAAATAAATAAATAAAGTTAGAAGGATTTAAATCATATGAAATATGTTTTCTTACTACAGTGGAATAAATAATAACAGACAGTTGGAACATCTTCAGATGTTTGGAGACTAACATACTTCTGCATAAGCCATGGGTCAAAAAGAACTCAGAGGGGAAATTAGCAAGTATTTTTAACTAAATGAAAGTGAAAACAAAACATATCAAAATTTGTGGAAGGTAGCTAAATAGTATGTGGGGGGTAATTTGTAGCCCTTAACATCTATAAAGAAAAGAAAGGTCTGAAATCTTTGACCTTGGTTTCTGACTCAAACTAAAAGTAAGAACAAATTAAACCTAAATCAAGCAGGAGAAAGGAACTACTAATAAGTTCAGAACAGAAATTAAAGAGAAAATAGAAAAATAGAGAAAATCAATGAAACCAAAAACTGGTTCTTTGTGAAGATAATAAAATTTATAAATACCTAGTTTGATCACCAGAAAAAGGGAAAAGACACAACTACCAGTATCAGGAACAAGAGAGGTAGCATCAATACAGAAATCTACAAACAGCAAAAGGAGAATAAAAGAATATTATGAACTTTATGCCATTAAATTCAACAAATTAGATGAAAAAGACAAATTTCTTGAAAGATGAAAACTACCAAAGCTCATTCCAAAAGAATGGATTCTCTGAATAGCCCTGAATAACAGAAGCTCTTTTAGAAAATTGGGAGAGAATACATCTCAACACATGCTATGAAACCATCATTACCTTGATACCAAAATCTGGCAGAGACATTTCAAGAGAAAAAAATCTAGACCATTATCCCTCATGAACATAGATGCATCAATTATTAACAAAATTTTAGTAAATCAAGTCCAACAATAGAGGATATATATAGAAATAAACATTAAGTATAAATAGAGAAATAAATATTACAAAGATAATGTATAAAACAAAAGAGTAAAATACAAGGAAACTTCCTCAACCTCATAATGGACATCTATGGAAAACCTACAGAAGACATACTGAACAGTGAAAGACTGAGTCCTCTCCCTCTAAAATCAGGAAAAAGCAAGGATGTCTACTCTCAGCTCTTCAAGCCAAGATTGTACTGGAGGGCCTAGGCAGTGTAATAAGGCAAGAAGAAGAGATAAAAGGCATACAGCTTGTATTGGAAGAAGTAATAAATCTTCCTTTATTCACATACACCTATGTCTATGTAGAAAATTTAATGGACTCTATAAAAAGAAAACTTCTAGAACTAATAAATGAGATTAGCCTTTAGGATACAAGATCATTATTCAAAAACCAATTGTATTTTTGTACACTAAAAATGAACTAACATGAATTGAAATTTTAAAAGTACATTTTATAGTGGCATCAAAAATATAAAATACAGATAAATCTGATAACATGTGCAAGACATGTAAACTAAAAACTATAAGACATTGCTGAGATAAATAAAACCTAAATACAGAAATTATGTTAGTGGATCAGAAAACTCAATATTGTTAAATTCCCCCACTCAATCTACAGATTCAACACAATTCCAAATCACATTCCTAGTAGATTTTTTTCTCTCATTTAAAAATGATACAGAATTTACATACCATAGAATTCATCCTTTTAAATTCTGTGATTCACTGTTTTTTGGTATATTCACAAAGTTTTACAACCATCACCACCGTCTAATTCCACAAAATTTTCGTCACCCCAGAAAGAAACTTCGTATCCATGAGCAGTCACTCTCCATCCCCACTCAAGACCCAGCCATAGGCAATCACTAGTATACTTTCTGTCTCTGTGGATTCGCCTTTTAGGGACATTTCATCTAAATGGAATCATACAATATGTGGCCTTACTGTTTGACCTCTTT